GTTTGGTTCCCGGTACCGGAGAAAAACCAAAAAAAAAAAAAAAAAAAGATAATATTAAAGCAACTTGATAAATTTTTTGTGTGGCATGAGATTTATACAAGGTTTATAAAGCCAAATAGAAATGAATAGTCTATGGTTGGACTTTTTTCATCTACAGATGTTTATTTTCAGATTTCATTATAACTAGGCCTTTTGTTGGAACTAATAGACATTTGGAATGCAATCATAAATTCTTAGGTTTATGAATTGTTTCTGTTGTAGCCATAGTAACAAATACAGCAAGAAAAAAGTTTAATGTAAGGCTTATATAATCCAAAAGATAGAAAAGTTGAGAAACGGAAGATAATGAAGTGATACTTGTTTGAATTTCTGCTTCTTTTCTTTCCTGTTCATTTACTGGTACATCCTGTTTTGTAATTTGTTTACAAGGTTCATGAATAATTACTATGGTGGTGTCTGTAGTTTTGGACTAATGTGATAGCCAGTGAAGAGGCAGAATTAAGTGCCTGCATAACAGGAATTGAGCTATTCTACAAACTCAGCTCCATCTTCCAGCAGTTCGTGTTACCCTGGTTAATGTCAACTTTGTTTTCCGTTCCAGAGACATGGAGCTTTTGTGCAGAGAGAGATAAAACCAGGGAGTAGGCCAAGAGTTCCTACGGGAACAGAGGTATTATTGAATGCTCCGGGGTCATGCTCATCAGAACAGTCAAAAAAAACAGAGACAGGAAATTCAGCAGGAAGCAGAATGATCTCACCAGGTCTCTGCCAACAAAATTCCCAAGAGCTGTTAGAGACTTAAAACTCACTTATCAGAAACAGACGGCAGATAGACAGCCAAGTCACACCCCAGAAGCCTGAAAGAAGGGAGAAGACTGCAGGCATCTTTCAAACAACTGTAGGACATTCTCTTCTCACCAGGTATAAGCCTTTAAATCCACCAATAAAAAATCAAGATAAGTTGTCTTCTTCAGATAAAAACACAATCCCTGGAATATAGAGAAATTTCTGAATTGTTATTCAGGTGCTGGCACACACTTTTGTCATAAAAAAACTCAAAATATATAGTTTACATATAGGAAAAAGGGGGGAAAAAGACAAACAGGTTTTAATAGTGATATCTGAAGAGATATATTATGAGACATTGTTTCATAACATGTATAAGTAAAACAACTTTGTTTGCATATAATGAACATTACTAACAAGTATAAACTTTTAAAGGAGAAGCCTTATTGGTCATTGGTTATAGTTTTGAAATCAAAATAAACGGGTTTAGAATATTGGCTCCATATCACATGAGCTACTTGACTGGGGGTAAGTTATTTAATCTCTATCGACTTCAGTTTTCTCATCTATAACATTAGGAAAATAACAACGTTAGAAGATTCTTGATCATGAGATTACATACAATGATCAGTAAGTTGTCAGTATAATCATTATCGCTATTCCTAAAATTTAAATTTAAGGATTATGTCCTATAAGTTTCCCTCATTTTAAAACTTAGAATTCCTCTATATACAATTAAAAGTGCAAAAATCTAAAATATTTCTCATTAGGTGACACACATACACATTTAACTCAAAGATGATGGATACTTAGGATATCAAAATATTTCCCAAATTATTTTCTGTTTTACTGATTTCTAATGCTAACTCAACCTACTCTTTGGACAGTTTGGTAAATATCAATTCTACCAGCTATTTAATTTGGTATGTTTGATATGCGATGATGTATCCACTATAAGGTATGTTATACTGTGTGCAAGAGGAAGTGGAACACTTTTATACTACAAAGAGTATAAATTTTCATGGCAAAATATCAGTTTCTCACTATTATCTGTAATGTTGACAAGGCTACAATGTACCTTTACCCTTTTATCCTCCACCAAAGAGCTTTTAATATACTAAGTGCCATGAATACAATATATTTGTGTGTCAGTTCTTACAACATGGCCAGATAAAGCTAATAATGAACTTCTATTTGAAAGACTTTACAATGATAAATAAAATAGCTGAACAACAAATATATACCCAAGCTCATAAAACAGTAAAACTTTCATGTTCCAAAATAGTTCAGTGGTAGAGGACTTGCCTAGCATGTGCAAGGCCCTGGGCTCAATACCCAGTACTGCAGAAAAAGTGGGGGGTTGCTAATCTCTCTCTCTGTCTCTGTCTGTCTGTCTGTCTATCTATCTCTTGGAGATCTTGCCTAATCAATACATGCAAACTACCTTTTTATTTTAAAGAGAATTTAAAAAACAAAATGATACAGAATTTCAAAACAAGATGATAGAAAATTAACAATGGTTGTTATATTGCATTTGTTATTTTCAAAGTAGTTGCTCATATTACCAGATATAGCCATGTAAAATTGATCAAACAATATAAGCACTAACTGTTCCTTTCAATAAACTAATAGAAATTAGTAGTACAATTATCTTAGCTATTTTGTGTACATACAAATATTTCCCCTTCCTTCTTTTCTCCTTTCCCCCATCCTAGTTGTTCTTTCCTTTTGACCAGTTTCTTTCCCTTTCACAATATCTATTGTAGCTTTTAGATTTTATTTACTCTTTCAGTTTCTTACACTAGGGAGATAATATGATGTTTGTTACTTTATAGCAATGCAATTTTCCATGGTATAAATGTATTTCTATATAGCTGGAACATACAGAATGCAAACTGGGAAGAGAAAAGGGAAGATGGAAAGCAAATTTAGAAAAGGTCTTATGGGCTAGGGCTTAAATTTTAGTGCACATTTAAACAGAAATGAAACTTTATGTCTCCAAGGTAGAGACAGAGAAAGAATTGAAGCCTGCATGATGCTAAAAATGACTGGCCTGTCAGTAGAAGGTACACTACATTTCACTTACAACCAGGAAGACAGCAAGGAAGCTTGCTTCTGTTTGGAGCTGTAGACAGTAAATAAACTCTTTGTGAGAAATTACAACCACAGTCTTGTGCCACATTTTGGTTTGGAATATGACTTTACATATATGACTCCTCATAGGACACATAATTAGCATAAAAATGCTGCTAGTGATACTGCTGAGATGTCTGATAAAAACAAGTTCAAAACTTCATAGATATTTCCATGACAAAACAGTCTCTGTAAAGGGAAAATTACAATCACATGAAGAAGAAAAACTGGGTGAGAGTCTGCAGTACAAAGAATGGTTAAAATCTCAAAACTAGAAATAATAAAACATCCTCAATTTAGCAAAATCCTTCTTTTTTTCTTTTTCTTTCCTTTTTTATGTGTGTGTGTGTGTGTGTGTGTGTGGTTCTGAAAATTATGTACAGAGCCTCCCACATGCTAAGCACATGCTCTACCACTGGGCTCAGCCCCTAAAGTCTCTTCTCTTTCTTTCATTCTAGGAAATTTTGTGTTGCCTTTCCTGTTATTTCTATCCCCTCCCTTTCCTCTCATCTCTCCTTTTGCAACGGCTATAAGTTGAATGTTAGAATACTTGGATCCATCTTCTAAGTCTCTTAATTCTCATTGTTTTCCTATGGTACTTTACACTAAATGATGCAAGAATTCCCTTGATACTGGCTTTCTGCTAATTTGCTTTTCAGCCATGTCTATTCTAATGCCAGACTAGCTATTGAAAATTAAAGAGACCATCTATTGAACCTTAAATATTTCTAAGGTCTATATATACTTCCTCAGTATCTAGGACTCTTCCTGCATTATGGATGTGATAGCCCCTCTTATTCTACTTTGAATATTGTAGTTGTGTTGAATGTCTTTTATTTGTTCCCTTAATTCTGTTAATCTGTTTGTTGAGTATGATGCCTCATGTCTTGGTATTATACTTTTTTCTCAAATGCTTGGCGGTTTATGGTAGTATATTCTTTTATTTTTTTTTTTGGTCTTTTTGGACATGGTCTCACTATGCAGTTCAGGCTGGCCTTGAGCTCGCTTTGTATCCCAGGCTGGCCTTGAACTCGCAATGATCCTCTTACCTCAGCCTCCCAAGTGCTGGATTTACAGGTGTGCGCCACCATGTCCAGTTTGGTTGTGTATGCTTCTTTGTGAGATTTCTAGATCAATATCAGTGTAATGTCTTTCTGTGTACTATAACTTGACTTTGTGTTACAGTATGTAGACAGATGGGATCTGAGGACAATTTGACTGATGGGCTCTTTGATCCTCTTGGGCAGAAGCTACCTTGCCCCTTCCTCCCTGTGGTATGATTCATTTTCTGCCATAGCTTACCATTATTTAACACAAGCAGGTGAACAGGAAGGGATGACTTTAGCTGGAAATGTGTCGGACCAGAAAAAGACCAAAAAATTTCTCGGCTTCCCTTGCAGCTAGGTTGACCATCTGATTCGTCTGAGATATAACCAGAACAGTATGTGTAACCTCCAAAAATATGTTTGAAGGGAGAATATAGGCCCCTCACTGTATTTTTTCCCTTCCTAATAACTAGAATGCAAATGTGGTGGTGTAAGGTTTAGCCATCTTGACAGAAAAGAAATAACAATAAAATGCAAGGGTCCTTGGGGCTCTGACATCATCAGACACCACCTGGTGGCCTAATTTGTGTGGGAAAAAAAGATAAAGTTCTATCTCATATAAACCACTATGATTGGGGGGGGTTACCACTTGCAGTAAGTAGAATATAGTCCTAAATTACACAATGATTGAGAATTTTCTAGAATTAAAAATGTGAGTCTTCAATTTGAAGGAAAAAGGTGAATTTTGAACACATAATAGGGAAATCACAGAATGTCACATATAAAGAGAAAAGCTTTATCAGAGATAAAGTACATTCTTACCATATAGATAACTTACCATATAGCTACCATATAGATAAAGTACATTCTTACCGTATAGATAACTATAAGGTTAATGGACTTTTTATCCACAGCAATAGATGCAAGAATATAATGGAGTAATGTAAAAAAAGACAAAGATAATAATAGTCAACACAGAATTTCATGCTAAACTATAATAAAGAATAAGGGCAAAAATATGGGCATTTTCAGATATACACAGAATAATAATACCATCACGTACATAATACAATTGTATAAGGTATGTTATTCTAAATGCTTTATATATTTTAATTCATCATCTAGAGAATAATTCTCAGATGTAGATACTATTATTATGAAATAGCATTAATACTATTATAGTAATAATACTATTATTATGAAACTAAGATACAGGGAGGCTAAGTACTTGCCCAGGGTCACATAGCTAGTATGTAGCCAAACTGGGGTTCAAGCCCAGGTTTTGCACTCCAGACTTATCCCTTATTGATATGTTACATTGTCCCTATGACTAATAGGATTAGCTACCTACTGATTTTCACTGCAGTAACTGCTGAAAGATGTCATTTAAAAGACTGATAATAAATCTAGACAGAAAAGGTAGGATGTAAGAAAAGCAAAACAAATCCATACTTTATATTGATTAACCTATGTGTTAATGATAAAAATATTCTTTCATGAAATGATCCAGATTTTAGTTTGTAAGGGACTTTTTCCCTTTGTAGTTCTTTATTTGGCAAAAGAAAATATAAGAACTCCATGTCATTTCCTCTAAAAATTTGGTAATTTTCCTGGCCTGGAAATTATTGGTCTTAGCGATTGTGCAACAAGGATTTTTTTCTTCAGTGGAAAAAGCCCCAGATTTTCAAGATTTATTGCAAATGTGTGATAGAAAAAAATATATTTATTGATAGTAGAGTAGGGGTATTTATGTTCATGATATAAAGAGGACAGGCTGCATGAAACCCTTAAAATCAATGTATTAGGGGCATGGCATCCATAAAGGGGATATTGTAAGTCATGAAGTAAAAAAAAGGAGAAAAAGACACCCTCCCACTATAGAAGTTCATTGCCAATTTATTAAGATTCATAAAGACAATGCTTTTGGCTAAAATATATCAAGATGATATATAGAATTTCAGCCACAAAGATAGAGCCCAGTGCTATAATGTCAATGTGGCTCCACCAGTGTCAACATGGATTTTGCAAGGGAGAGAATATTTTACTTTTTACATACTTGTAATAATTCATTATAAAACTTTCTAATGGCATTGTAAATTATCTTTTAAATACTGTAAATTGAAAAACCTAATACTTTCATCCCTCAGTGTTCATAGATATTGGTTCTAGGACTCCCACAGATAAAACCCAAGTGTTCAAATACCTTATATAAAATGGTATGGTATTTGCATATCATCTATGTACACCCTCTTGTATACTTTAAATCATCTCTAGATTCCGTATACTACTTAATATAAAAGTGCTATATGTTTGGCTGTTACATTCTGTTGGGGGAATAATGATATGAAAATAGTTTGTACATATTCAGTACAGATGCAGTGTTTTTCAAGTGTTTTTGATCCCTGGTTTGTTGGACCCACAGACATGGAGCCCCTGGATACACAGGGATGGCTGTACTGTGTTTCTGTTTAAGTAACATTAAAGATCACATAATTTCCTCATTATCAAGTCAACTTCACACTAGAAGGAGACACTCCAAAAGTGATCCCCAGAGTCCCTAGCTCTCCGTTTCACAATCATAAGCTGAAGAAACTTATGACCTAACACAGTTTGAGAGGCTAAAATATTAATCATAGCAATAACAGAAATTGAATTTCTAGGTTTAGTACTTCAGTAAAAAAATTTAGTTGGGGGAGTTTTTAATTGCTTTTGTTTTTGTTTCTTTAGAGTAGTAGCAAGAGCAGCTTATGTATTTAACCATGGTGGGACCTGGGTATAGTGGGAAGGTATTTTTTTTAAAGTAAGACTTTAAGTTGAAATTTTCTTGAAAGTCCCTTCCATAACCTATAATGTCCAGTATGCAATTTTGTGTCCAGTAATTCTTACATTAAATATCACTGAGCTGGAAGGACAAAAGGAAAATCACCATCAGATGTCTGTCTTTCTGCTGAGTTCCTGCATTCTGTTTGAATATTAGTACATGTTTATGCAATAAAGAGAGGTCCCTGAAGAGAAGTCTGGCCTTTTCCCCTGGCTCCTGTGAGGTAACTTCTGAGACCTTGGAATATCCTGACTGGTAAGAATGTCTTTGTTTATTTTCAGGCCTTGGGCTATGCCAGATACTCTGTACTAACATATATGATGTTTATGGTAGGGTGT